TTTCTGTCTCTGGCTCGAGCCGGCTCAAACGGCTCGATTCCCCGCCACTACATGCTAGCCGTAATATTAGCCATACTTCCCTTTTGAAGAATGGACATTTGCAGTTTTATTAACGCTTCCAAGATCACGACGGGTAACGTACGTTTAACCTTGTAAGTTTAGTGGACGGAGTAAAACACACACTGGCACAGAAACGCACTGAATCCGACTCGATGGACCAAATCCTCGAGTTTAAGCTCGCGGAAAGGAAGTGGAAGAAGCACATTCAAAATTATAAGAGTAAAAAACAGTTTATTTAAATAACACAAAATGTGCAAAAATAAACAACTGCCACAAAAGATGACAAGGATGACTGTACAATAATTCAGAGAACCGAAAGAAGGAAGACAATTATTTAGAAGGAGTATCGGTATCCTAAACGTTTTAATTGCTCCATTTTTCCGAAGAGCTCATTTTTTAGGTAAGATTTCAAGAGGTATCACTATATTTTATGTTTTTAATTCAAACCCCACCCCCCTCCCATCCATTAAGGAGACAATCGCGAAAAAGAAATTTGTTTCTAATTTTCGGTATTAGACAATGAATTATTCATATAACAAGAAAATTATTATACAAGTAGGGTAATCCTTATACATGAAAATAATCGAAGAACGAACTCGATACGATAAATAGGTACCGAGATATAAATTCTTCAGTACATCGCTGATTCGTGACAAACAAATTCGCGAACAGAAAAATTATGACTTAACCCCCCCGTCCAATTTCACGGGAGCTACAATATAATTGATTTTGCACGAAATCCCTGATAACGAGTGCAAAAAATGATCGATTTGGTGTGGAATGACCCTGTAGGGTAAGTTGTTCAGAATGATGACCTTGACAACATATTTCAAGGTCATCAAAATCGATAAGGTATGCCTCTTTGTAAATAATTAACAAATTCAATGTCTTCTAACTATTACAAGATTCTTTGTAAATAATTAACAAATTCAATGTCTTCTAACTGTTACAAGAAAATTTATAAAATTTTATAAAAACGATTTGTTTTATTATTATTTATTAAAATACGAAAAACAAATTACTATTCTAAAACAGAAAGGAAACAATTAGGAAAAAAATGGTAGACCAAATTAACATTATAAATAAAAGCAATATAGATGCCTTAGATTTTATTCATATAGTAAGGTTTATTAATAACATAAATTGCAAACTTCTACATGGTAGAAATCTGAACGATGTACATTTGCGTAGTCTTACACCCTGCTTAAAAGGGAACTGTAGAGAGTCATGCAATTGCGTAAACACACACCTAATATTCCAGTTAAAATGCATAATGTAGTAAATATATTTGTATAATCCAAACAGTCAGATCCTATACAGAGAAATGATTTAACCTGGCTGATTTTAATTAAACTCTGCCGAAGTGCCATCATATCTCCGGTACATTAATAAATATTCCGTAGCATGGCAAGCAAAGCAAATTTTATATTCAACAATGACAGTAACACATTAGCAATTAATAGAGCAATAGTGACACCTGGATATATTTTGCTTTGCTACTACTTTTTTGATAATATGTTTAATCTTGTCGAAAAAGTATACGTACATGTATAGAATTGGTCATGCTACGGTGTTCACCTAAATCCTTCTTACATCAGGGCCATTAGTGCGCGCAATTCTACACACTCGCGATAATACGCGGCGCGCTTTGATAACGTTTAATCGTAATCATGTTATTGAGTATGTCTCTTGAACCCTGCCTGAAAGGGATAATAGATGTTCCTAATCGCCAAACTAGTTACAAAAAAACATGTTTGAATCCTTATTGTTTAATATTTAATCCGTGTACCACTTAATATGTACTTTTTTATTTAATGTTTCTTTTAGCAGATGATTTCATATTTACGTCACGTTTGTTTCTGTTGTATAGAATCTAAAACATATAGTAATAGTAACCCACGGATTGAATAATTTTGTTTCTATTAAGTGACTTGAAAATTCATCACTCTTAATCACCGGGTAACATTATTTGGCGATGATTAAATATATAGCTTACGATTAATTTAATATCTATCAGTCTCAACGTTTAACCCTGCCTAAAAGGGAAAGAAGATGGTCATGCGAATTTGCTCTTAACGGTCGGAATCCTGACTAGCGCACACATACTATCGCATGATTTTTAAACGAAGGTGATTTCGACTTGAAGTTTATTTCAAGAAATCATCGACAACAGAAATTCGCACTACTTTTTGATAAAATTGCTTCAGTTATCTTTAATAAGATGACCTATGTGATCCAGACTCTACTATGAAATTCTTATGGAAGGTGGTCGCCTAAACTCAAAAATCGACATGAGACGTAATTCTATGGATACGTTTTTGAGATATCGCCCGATGCATATTTTGGTAATTTTTTAAAAAGACGACCGAATTAAGTATTTGTCTTCAATGAAAACAAATTTAAATATATTTTTTTCGCGTATTTATTTATTTAAGAAGAAAACGAATTGAAATGTATTTTATTTTATTTTATTTTTGAAAAACTTTTTTTTTATCATCGATGATTTGCTCATGAACTATAAGAATATCAGTATGTACTGCTGTATATGCTCTACTTAATTGCCCAAGAAACAGGAAGAAATGGGGAAAAATAGGCACTCCCACTCTATCGCCCATAACTTCCTTATTTGTCCATGGATTTTGCTCAGGTTGGGCTTATTTTCTTCGTAAAGGTACGTACTCTAAGTAAAAAATAAGAATCTGGACGTTACATAATAATTTATATGTTTTCCAGGCGATGCAGTGAATTTTCGATTTCAATTTCGGCCCCAAAAAATTAAATTTTTTTTAAGTTTCACTCGATTTCGACGAAACTATTGGTCCGATTGGAAAACAATGTAAGAAAGAATAGTATGTAATTTAATTACCTTTAATTTAAGAGTCATCGCGATCAAATCGGTCAACTATAACGCGAGATACTGTCAAAAAAGTCGGGTCGTCTTTTTACAAAATTACCAAAATATTCATCGGGCGATGTCTCAAAAACGTATCCATAGAATTACGTCTCATGTCGATTTTTGAATTTAGGCGACCACCTTTCATAAGAATTTCATAGTGGAGTCTGGATCACCAAATCACTGTAAACTAGTGTAATCACCAGTAATTTTCTTAGTTTTCCTATTTTATTATAATTTTCAAAATGTTTGTAAGAAGTTATTGAAAACCGGTATTATTTTGTTACCTGTATTATATTAGCAAAGTTATAACGAAACGAAAATAGTATCGAAATCAAAATAATTTTAAGGCACCCACGTTTTATGTATAATGTTTCGTGTTTTTCGTGTATTCTTGGACCCTAATCACGGAATTATAAAGAACTTCTCTTGATCACTTTAAGTTTTAAACAATTTCAATGTTTAATGCACCAATATGTATGAATCCGATAATGTGGAGCGAATTCGTACTGGATAAAGAACGTTTCGTAAAAATGCAAAAATAGTGCGCTTATTTACAACGATTCAAATTTACAAAATTTAATAACTGTATACACTGATACAATCAGGAAACTCTCTTCTATCTTTGAAGGCTAAACTGAAGTTTCTAGCAATTTTAGGTTTCACATAATAAGCCACTTTGTCCGAAATCGTGCGTTTTTACAAAAATTTGTGTTTTTCGAAAATTGAGGGTGATTCGTATTTAGAGCGTTTTTAGTTTATTCGTGTTAGTGTTTAGTTTTTTAATACGTTATTATTTGTTGGTTATAAAATATCGGTATTTATTTCGGTTTTTGGTAATATATCGGTTTCGGTAATATTTGAACCAACCATTAATATTGAATGTATACTATAGAAAAACCGAAAAAATACCGGTATATATTTTGATTTTCGGTAATATATCGGTTTCGGTATAGCTTTGCTGGCATAATACCGGTATCAAAATCATAAAGATTTTAAGTCCTTAGGCATAACACCAGTATCAAAATTATACCAGTATTAAGTCTCTGTTACAATACTTGGATAGAAATGTACAAAATTATGAAACAAAATCAATTTCGGAGTACAGTGAATCCTCGTTGAGTGTTCGGGAACTTTGCGGCAGTGAAACAAATTTATGAGGTGCCGACAAAAAAACAAATTTATGAGGTGCCGACGTCTTTTTGCCTACCGCGTGAATGTTCTGTCGCGGTGCCAAGCCCCGAACACTTAACGAGGATTCTCTGTAACACATGCAGTTTGCATATCTGCAAATCTCGGATTATATTTATCGTTAACCCATGAGGTGAAATGATGGTCTATCATTTTTCTGTAAATATTATTCTAATCTCTCAGGTTATACTAATTATGTATATGTCACAGAATGTTCTTATCTTGAATACTCGAATCATCTGCATATTAGAATCTTATAATGTTCATAGACAAACAAAATAATTCAGAGTTTATAATTATTAACCTTAAACATCCCCTTTTTCGAATAATTTTTTTTAAATTTTACGTTCAACGATGATTTCTAAACATTCATAGCCAAAGTAAATGTGTCGGTATAAATTGTAAACGTATGTATGTGTCAGTTGATATAAAGTTGCTGAATTTTCCTCCGATGATTCCTGAAACACATCAGACTTTTCGGCTAGAGAATGGGTAGAAAGGTCATTAAATATAAAATTATAAATGGGAAATTCCTGTACGACGTTTCACGACGGGTGCATTATTGATTAAAGGAATAAAATTGATTCTACAAATTCAGAAGATGGTGTGTTCCTTATTCCAAAGAAATTATAGAACTTCACACAAGTCTCAGAAGATCCAACAAAATATAAATATAATTATAATATCAAATTTTGTACACTTCAACGTACCCATAGTAAAAATATGTATTTTTTCAAAATATATCTAATTTTAACCTATGTATAAATAAATTAATATTAATATAATGGTTAAAACCCTTGTATTTTTTGAAACATTTAAAATTTAGAATCAAGACCACCATTTCGTTTTTTCAGATCTAAGTCAAAGTACTTACACGGACTTCTTGCATTTTCATTACACCTTTTTTCTGTTTTCTCTTCTTACAATTTAGTTCCTCTTGTATTTCCAACAACGATTTCCCTTTCGTTTCTGGTACCATAAGAACGATAAAGATGATTCCAATGAAACAACTAATCGCAAACAAACCGAAGGATGTATAAACCCCATAAGAATCAGAGATTACTTGGTACATTTTAGAAACAATAAATGCCAATAACGAACCCCATAAATTTGCTAAGGACACGGCAGTCCCTTTCACATTTGTTGGGAAAAGTTCACCAAGCATCATATAAGGCAATGGATTTAAACCTAACGCAATAATCAATTCGTAAAATATCACAGAGGCATGAAGAATCCAGCCGACGTCAGCCATGTTTACTAATATTCGGAACTTGAGCAAGTAAAATATTGCAGTTACAGCCAAGGACAATCCACCAAGAAATGTTGTGACTAGAAGTAACGGTCTCCTTCCGAGTTGGTCTACCAATGCTGCAGCTCCAACTCCAGCAATAAGCTGCAGAACGCTTAAAATGATCACCGCTGTTCCAGCATGCAAATCTGTATCAGCTTCCTCGAGGATTTCTTGAGTGTACGATTCTATCGCAGCTATCCCACTAAATTGAAGTACCACCTGAAGGCCAAAACTAATCAATACAGCTTTTCGATTGCCAGGAGTATTAAAAAGATCCCAGAAGTGCCCTTTATCAGTAAGATCACGGATCACGGTCTTCTGTATTTGTTCCATATCTTCATCCAACTGGTCTTCTGTCGCGTACCTCTTGAGTAGCCTTAAACTTTTCATTGCTTTATCATCGCGATTCTTCATTAACAAATAATAAGGAGATTCAGGCATCCAGATAAATGATAGGAAGAAGAATATTGGTATTACAGCGCAACTGTAAGCCAGGCACTCGTACGAGACGAAAGGACCAATTGCGTGGGCGTATAATTCGCCAAATGTTACCATTAGTTTAATGAAAGAGCCCAAAGATCCTCTGATTTCCTTGTCAGCAATCTCGCCAATGTACATAGGACACACAACGTACGCCACGCCGATGCCAAATCCGCTAACGAACCTCGAGACATACAGAATGTAAGGATTCCAGGCTATGATGATCAAAATCCAACTGACAGTAAGCGGTATTCCTGCTATCAAGAGACAGATTTTACGTCCGAGCCAATCTACTATGAAAGCCGCAAAAATGGTCCCAGGTATCGAACCCAGGAGAGCAAACGAAGCAATCCATGAAGCGTCATCGGAGGTTAATGGTACACGAGAATCAGGAGACTTCAGTATCGGTAGCGTCGGTGATGTCCAGCCTATGTGAGAACCGGATGTTGCCATAGATAAGGTGGCTATATTGGATAGAAAACAATTAAACATGTCAATAATTGAAAATGTAAATTGTACTAACTGAAATAAGAAAGTAGTTTTTAAAAAGTATTGTTATAAATATTTAAGTGATAACAGTATAAATAACTTTACGTCAATTAAATGCCAAAGTCGAGATTCATCTTACGATGTTCATAAAAATGACGAGTTGCACGATGACATAGTAACCCAGATAGCACATGACGCCTTGAGGACGGCTTAAAGACGCCTTAGACCTAAAATAGCTCTGAAATGGGCGTCTTAAAGGCGTCATGTGCCATCTGGGAACTTATGTTTTGTTGCCCAAATTATTTGAACTTTAAGTTTAATGAATTTCTCTTTCTTTAACACTTTTACTATATATCGTATTTTAAAAATCATGTTTCATACATTCACATTCATAACTCTAACATTTCTTATTTTGCTTCTTCTCTTGTTACACAGCGAAAAAGCATTCTTGCATTAATTCTTTTCCACTTTACGAACGAGATACCACATTTAGAAAACTCTCATTTGATACAGAAAGATTTAAGGAATCAGGAGCTAATTTTATTTAGACGATATCGTAGTGGAAAAAGTGATAGCTTAGAATATCGTCGAAAAAAGGTCGAAGATGAGATTCCAATTTTATTTTATCATATTAACGTATTTGAAGGATAAACTTCCGAAAAGCAGCTACACCCGATGACCCAGACTTCGGCATATATTACCAAGATCACCCTCACGAGTAACCTTCGAAACGTTTAAACCGCGCGGCCAAAATCCCGTCCACATTTGAGCAACATGCAACAGAATTTCCATTCCAGACCATCAAGAAGTCGATTTTAACGACCCGGCGCGCATTCGTAGCGCGCAAATGTTCGTCAAGACGGGGAAACACGGCTATCGCGCGCACGAGAACGCTCGGTGCGCATCGTCCACGAAATTGGAAGGAGCTTTTCTATTTTTTTTTAATTAAACCATCCTGGTGAAAAATAAACCGCTGAATGGATGAATAACACCTATATAGAATGTTCATGTACCAAATAGTAAGAATATGTTTCCTGTTTCCATGAATAGGCATTAAGAAAATAGTATAAATATAATATACAGGGTGACCCACATAACTCTTAATAGCTCAATATCTCGAAAACTATACCATCGATTTTAAAGTTCTTGGTCTTAAATTACATGAATCTGAAGGGCCTTTCTAACTACATAAATATGTAGTGGCCCCCCCCACCCCTTTAAGGGGGGGGGGCGGGGGGACCTTTATAATTTTAAATGGAACTCCCTATAAAACGTACCATATTTAGATTCTACAGGAAAAAGCAAGTAAATGTTGTCTGAAACATTTTTTTGTCACATATTTCCATGATGAGATATAAGAGTTTATTTGAAGCGCTCGGAAATTGCGTTATTGAATTATACACGCTTGAGTCCTTTGCTTACTCGTGAAGAAATAAAATGTTCTTTAAATTAAATGCTCAAAATGTCCACCACGGGCTTGTAAACATTTATTTACTCGAAACATCAAAGTTGTTCTGACATTTGTTAACATTTCGGAAGTCATTCCTCGATCCCCCGATCTAACACCATTAGATTTTTTCTTATGAGGATATGTAAAGGACAAAGTTATGTTTGAACCACCGATGACAAAAGAGAATATAAAACAAAGAATACGTGACGCTTGCGCTTCAGTGACTGAAGGAACAGTTCGGTTACCCATCACTAGACACAGTCGTCTCCGCTCCGACGACATCGCCCCAGTACCATCGACAGTGAGGGCCCGTTGACCGATTTACACGCGCCATACGATTTTCTACGGTGCGCGTCAGAATGTTCGTGTTCGGCTTCACGTTGCACGAGGTCGTTAGCTGCGCGTCAAGCCATTAAAGTCGACCGTTTCAAGTGTGTTCTGCAACGCGCGTTACACAAGTGTAGACCTGCCTTAAGGAATTTGTAAATTTCCTTTTCAAATAATGTATTAACGAAAAGGTAATGTAACAAAAAATAAACGAGAAGTGATCGTAGTTCGTTATTGAGATAAAAACCCGTAGTTTAATAATGGGCAACAATGTTACTGATAATGAATAAATCTTTTCAAAAAGCCTGAAGATAAATTTAGGTAAAGAAACTTGTAAAATTATCGCTGGAAATAAATCATAGCTCGCGTTAAATTAAAAAAATTATAATCAGCAATAAATTGATTAGAACTCACCCTTCCGAAAATTCACCTGCAGTTTGTAAACCTATATCATTAGGTCACTGGACTGATTCTGGGCATCGACGGACGGAACAGTTTATGGTAGGATAGCGCCTAGTCTGCAGATGATCGCAGATGTTGGGCACGAGCCGAAGTTAAGGGTTCTAACGTCAAGTGAGTCCCCGGTTATTCCACCGAAAAGGTATTCACTTCACTGCACGACCACTAACACTGATCAGCCGACATGATTACTTAATGTATTTTTAATCGAACGTGTTGTTCCTGCGTTACGAAAATTAATAGCCCCGAAAGGGGCCGATTGTTTTCAATTTATCAGATGTTTTAAGTAGCCAAATACTTGCACAGCAGCACCCGCATATCCGTTATTCTGTGCGTACCACCAGAACATTGCCTAATACTCCCGTGAAATGAGCATCTCTGTCGCCCGATTGCTAACCGACTGACAGAATTTTTCCGAAAGGGCTTCCTCTACCCCCAAGTAGTTTCTCATCGTTACATTGTGAGTTCACTCCCGCCGTGGCAACAAGATTTAGGTAAACAGAAACCAGCGTTCTAAGAAAACACGTGCTTTGCAGGAATGTAACGAACGAACCGTCGTGCAGTTTCACCGTATTGTGGGCTCCGTTAATTTACTACCAAAATACCTATTGCTTCGAGATAGAAAGCAGAATCTACGTTTTCCTCAAGGAGCAGGAAATAAAATTTCACGGACATATATTGAGTTGACGCTGCTTGGCCCTGTCCGAGCACCTAAGCAGAGGCCGGAGGAGACGTTTCAGTTATTTAACACTAGGTTTACGGGCACTTATCGTGTAGGTATCTCCACGGCACGCATCAACGAACCCGCAAATTTTCTTTAAAAAACAACTTATTTTATATAATACACAATTTATGATCTCTGAAATTAATGCGTAGCTATAGAGATAGGTATACCACATAGAGAATTTCGAGGTTAGAAAGCATTCGAAATGCGTCAAAATGACGCGTCCCGTAAACCTAGTGTTAAGGCCTAATTGTTTTGGCCTGGTAGCAGACGTGGACTCACAAGGGAAAATCCCGAATTGACGATTTTTATACAACTCTGTGAGATTGTAGTTCTCATGAAAATGTTTGATACGTATTTTTTTCTAACTGCTCTCATCCACGTTAAAGAGGTGCAAACAGCCCTAGATGGTGAAAGAACCAGGCGCTCCGCTTTTACGGTCGATTATCGTACCGCTACCACTCCAGATTATTTCAGTGAGGTTAAAAACAATATCAAAGTGTCAATGATAATTTATACTTTACACAAATATAAAAAAATAATAATATAATTAATAGTTAAATAATTAAATATTTATACTTCTTTTCTTTTTTATATTTATATATTATTTTACGATGATTTACTTTTATGATTTCCTATCGATATTGTTTTTCACCTCATTGAAATAATCTGGAGTGGTAGTGGTACGGTAGTCAACTGTCATAGCGGAGCGCCCAGTTCTTTTACCTGTTACCTGAACGCGGGGCACACCGCTGTCTTTAATAGTTTACTGCGACGTTATGGATGAACCGCATGAACGTATCACCCTACCGATAGGGTTATTTTATGGAAAACACTTCATCGAATGTGGTAGTATTTATTTCGGATTTTAAAAATCGCAACCTCCAGGTAAAATATGCACAATAAGAATTTGTTTATAATTTGTAGTATTGCAAAAATGATTTTTCGACCTCGAAGAAATTTATTCAGGAAGGCTGATCCTTCTCGATTAAAACAGAAAGAGGAATCAGCCGAATATGACAGATAGTTTCCGAGATATAAATTCATAAGTACAATCCATTTTCACGAATATGGCCTGTATTTTTAAAACCAATTCGAAACTCAAAAACGATGACTTAGCCCCCCCCCCACAATTCTACGTGGATTACATCATAGCCTATTTTGAACAAAATCCCAGACATCGAGGAAAGGAAGTGATTGATTTAGCATGGAATGACCCTACTATGTTTTATGTTTCCTCGTATTTTGTATAAGATGGCGTACTTCAACACGTATAATTAAACAGATAGTGCACTTTTCCGACTTCTAGATATTTCTGTTACAGTATGCGTCGCTAGTTGATCCTCAAATGGTTGAAAGTCAGTCTACAGGTATAAAAGTTCCCTGCGTCCTGTAGCGAAACGTCCGTTCCGGCCTCTGCTAAGATGCTCGGACAGGGCCAAGCAGCGTCAATTCAACATGTGTCCGTAAAAATTTTTTTCCTGCTCCTCGAGGAAAACGTAGTTTCTACTTTCTATCCCGAAGCAATGTGTACGTTCCTGGTCCTCTTCTCTTCGGACCCTTTCTATCTCAAAGCAATGGGTATCCTGGCAATAAATTAATGAAACCCGCGCTTCGGTGAAACTGCACGACGGTTCATTCGTTGCACTTCTGCAAAGCACGTGTTTTCCTAGAACGCTGGTTTCTGTTTACCTAAATCTTGTTGCCACGGCGGGAGTGAACTTCCAATGTAACGATGAGAAACTACTTGGGGGTAGAGGAAGTCCTTTTGGAAAAATTCTGTCAGTCGGTGAGCAATCGGACCACAGGGATGTTCAGTTCACGGGAGTACTACGCAATGTTCTGGTGGTACGCACAGAGCTGCTGTGCAAGCATTTGGCTATGTGGAGCACCTTCTAAACTGATACAAATCGGCCCCTTTTGGGGGCCACCAATGTTCGTAACGTAGGAACAACAGGTTCGATGAAAAATAAATTAAGTGACCGTGTCAGGTGATCAGTGTTGGTAGTCGTGAAGTAAAGTGAGTGCACATTCGGTGGAATA